ACCCTCAGCCCCCGGGCCCTGCCTTTTGGGCAGGTGCTGCAGCTGGCTCCAGGCAGGATCCGTCCTAACCTCCCGCCAGCCTCTGCAGGCTGCCAGCGTTCTGGCCTTGTGAGTTCTCTGTGGGAGCCAGCAGGCAGCCTCCCTTCTCAAACTCTGCCCCTCCAGCCATCCTCTAAGGTCCCTTGTGTCTACACTGGGCTCTCTCAGATAATCCAGGGTCTCCCCATCTCAAGATCCTGAATATAATCACATCTGCAGAGTTCCTCCCGTGTCAGTAGCAGAGTCATGACTTCTGGGGCCCTGGGTCGGGCCATATTTAGCCTTTACTGGGGGGCTGGGGGGTGTCAGGACACCTGGCAAAGATGTCCAGGAAGCAGCTGGCACCTCGAGGCCCAGGATGATGGGAGACGCGGGCTCTGTCCGGGAAGTTACTGGCACTGAAGGAGCAGCAGACCAGATTTCAATGATAGGCCAAGGGAATGGGGGCCAATGTCCTGCCTTCACAGGTAGGAGGCCTGCCAGGAAGGGGGCGTCCCGGGAAGGTGGCAGCTCCCCTGTTACAGCTGTGGTGTGGTGGCCAGCTAGTCTCTGAGGCTGGGGAAGCCTTGGGCCCTAGGTCTTAGAGGGCTGCCCTGGATTGGAGCTGCATGCCTCAGTGTCCCTACCTGTCAGACAGGGAGTGTACCCCCCTGTGAGGTAAGAGGCGGCAGGTAAGGTTCCTGCTTTGCAGCTCGCAGTCAGGATGTGGGCCGAGGCTGGGAAGCTGCAGCCCAGGCGGGGTTTTAGCTCAGCGAATGACTTCCCAGGAAGGGACTCCTGTGAGATCATGCAATCCGGCACCCCGGGCTGGGGGTGCACCAGAGGGACTCAGCTGTGGCCCCTGGCCTTCCTGGAAGAAGGCAGAGGAGGCCACCCACACTCCTGCACCCGCTATGGCCACTGGGAGAGTGCGAAGTGCCCTTTTCCACTACACCCCGGAGTGCCCGAGGTCTCCCTGATCATCCCCATCCCGCCTGGTTGGCCTGACCCCGGCTCCACCCTGATTAGTTCCCGGGCCCTCTCCCAGGCTGTAGACATCTCCGAGACCCACAGCCCCGGGTTCCCTTTGGCTCTGAGCTCCTGTCAGCTCACCCCATGCACACCCCGCCTCACGGAGCCCAAACGTGGGCCTCGCCCTCCCTTGGTGGCCACGTACAATCTCCCCCAACCCCCTGACCCAAGGTCTGAGTGCACTGAGGTACCTGGCGGAGGTGAGACTTCCGTGTTTTCAGACAGGGCCTGGCTACATCTGCTCTCGGGCCGGCCCAGGTCCCCACCTGCCTCTACGACGTTTCCCCCAAAACAGAGACAGCTCCGCCCTGGGGGGCTGCTCACTGTTCGGGTTCACCTGGGCCTGGTGTGTTGCTTCTGCAGCTGAGGGAGGAGAGGCTCAGGCCTGGTGACCTGCTGGGGGCTTCCGCTGCTCTGTGTCCCTCCAGGAACTACTCAGTGGTGGTGACGCTGCCCGTGCTGCCTGTGGGGAACGAGCCCCTGGACATGGCCCGGGTGACCAGCTACCTGGTGGAGGCGGCGCTGCTGCGGCCTCTCCGTGAGCTGAATCAGGTCAACATGCTGGCTGAGTACTACCGGCTCCGACACCGCCTGCTGGGGGGCCCCTTGGAGTGTGAGTCCAGCCATCCCCACCCCCCAATGCCCTCTGCCCAGCAGGGACAGTGGCAGGACAGTGCAGGACAGACAGACAGTGGCACGGGGAAGCCTGCCCCAGAGGTTACTGGGTCTCCTACAGTCCTACTGGCTGAGGGTCGGTCCCAGAGCTGCTTTTTGTCCCATACATAAGACCTGAGCCTGGGGCCTGGCAGAGAGGGCTCCGGGCAGCTCCCTCCTCGGGGACCCTGCTGGGGAGGCAGAAGGCAGCCCTCCAGCTGCAGCTGGAAGTGACAGGCTGCTAACTGAGGCCAGGCTCCCCAGCTGGACTCTGCCACCTCTCTGAGAAGTGGGGTGGCACCATGCCTTGCTCCCACAGGACACAAGCGTGTGCTGGTCCCGAGTCTGTGCCATTGTGTAGGGAGAGTCAGGTCCACCAGGAGGCGGGTACCCAGGTCAGCAAGGTGTGGCCTGCCTGCATGGCGTTCACGCTGCTGCTCTGAGCAAGCAGGAGCCTCCCTGGAGTCGGGGGTCTGTTCTAGTCCAGGCAGCACGTCACCATGGTAGCCAATAGGCCTTTAAGTTCCATACACGTGCACCTCGGCCTTCCCCGTGACAGCTCTGGGCGCTTCACGCAGAGCGGACCTCCTGACGAGCTTGTCCACTCCTCGCACGTTTCCCACGATTACGCCCGTGCTGCAAGTACTGGCGCTCCGTTCCCATCGCTGAGCTGGCTGCGGGCTTTGACCACTCGGGGAGGCCCTAGAGCTCAAGTCATGCTGAAGCCGAGCTGGGATCCCTGGGGTTCTGGCAGCTGTGACAGACCCCACCGCTGACCTGTGCTGCCTAGGAAGGCCGGGCCCTGAATCGTCCTCGCTGGCCTCGCTCATCCCGCTGTCGGGGCTTTTCCCCAGACCATGCCGTGGTGTCAGGGGCCCAGCATGTGGTGACCTTCGACGGCCGGGTGTGGGGCCTCAGCGCCTGGTGTGGTGGCCTGCTGCTGGCCAAGGACTTCGCTCACAACACCTTCTCACTGACGCTGAGCCGGGCGGGCTCAGGGACCCCATCCCTAGCTGTGGAGCTGAACCACAGGACCCTCGTGCTCTACCCCAGCCTGAAGGTGAGTGGAAGGGGCTCAGCTGCCCGAGGCTGGAGCGCCCCCTCCACCTGTGCAGCTCCCGTGCCGGGTGTGAGCGGATGGCACTTCTGAGCTTGTCACCGACTAGCAGATTTCACATCCCGCTTGGTCCCCGTCTGGCCCACAGACCTACAAGCTGTACAACTCTTCCTCGCATGGCGACAGCTGTGCAGACCCTGACCTGCCTCCCGCCACAAGGAGGAGGGATGTCGTCCCCAGGATTGAGCTGACCAGTGAGGACGGTGTCTCCATCTCCTGTGACGTCCAAGCTGGCCTCTGCAGCCTGACCCTGGGCCTCTGGCACCATGGTGGGTCTGGGTCCCAGTGGGGTTGGCTTTGCCTAGGCACGTCCTGCAGGCTGGACCACGGCCGGCTGCCAGGGCTGAGGGCAAGCAGCTCTCCCTGTCAGCCAGGGAGCACCCCCGCAGGGCTTACCTCCATGCCGTTCCAGCCAAGGACAGAGGGAGGTCCATGACAGGAGGGGCACAGAGGCTGCCCTCAGCCCCTTCCCTCTTCTTCCTCCTCCCGCTCTGAGGAGGGTTCGGGGCTGGAGTCCTGCTGCCTCACATGCCTGGTGCTCACCGATGCCTCGTACCTGGGCCCTGCTGGTGCAGTGCTGGGGAGGAACGTGGGTTCTCACGGCCTCCCCTGCCTCCCCCAGGTGTTTCTGCCGGCCTTCTGGGCACCAACAACAATGAGGCCAGCGATGAGCTCCTGCTGCCAGGAGGCACTGTGGCCCGTAGCCTGGAGGAGCTGGCCCTCGCCTGGCAGGTGAGCTGGTCGCCGGCCCTCCCCTCCAGCTGCCTCTTAGCACAGCTGTCCTGGAGAGGGAGGCGGTGCTGCCGAGTGGCTGAGGACCTGCACAGCAGCTAGCTGGGTCCCTGTCGCAGGGTTCCTGAGGGCTGCTGGTTCCACAGTCCAGGAGGAAGCAGGCGGTTCACTGGCTCTATAGAGAACTCTGGCTGGGGCGGGCTGGGGCTGAGTCTTCCTGGGGCTGAGGCACTGAGGGACTCTGTCTAAGAGAAAAGCAGTCTGGCAGGAGGCCCAGGTCTTGTGGCTGTCTCACCAGGTGGACGGGGACTGCAGGGCCATGAAGACTCAGCGGGAGTGCCCAGGACTAAGTCCCACTTGCCAAGCCTTCTTCCAGGATTCCCACTCTGCCTTGAGGAACTGCTTCAGGGTGGTGAGTGTGAGGCTGGGCCTGGGACCACGAGGAAGAAGGCGATCCTAGCCCCCATCTGGCCTCGGCCCTGCCCTACTCCCCAGGGTGTGGTGGGCAGGACGGTGACTGGGTGGTTCTGATTTCAGGTGGATCCTACACCATTTCTCAGACTGTGCACCCAGGACACCTGTGGTTCCCAGGAGCTCCGACCTGCCTGCAGCCTGGCGGCCACCTACATCCACCTGTGTGCCCGGGCCTCTGTGCCCCTCGACCCTCTCCCCCAGTGTGGTAAGCTGCCCCAGCCAGAAGACACACTGACCTCTGTCTGACTGGCTCAGTCTCCCATCCTGGAGGGAAAACCCAGTTTGTTTCTTGGCTCCCGCCAGGGAGGACAAGCACTCAACCCTCACTCAGTGAGCAAAGAGACAAAGCTATATACAAAGTACTTAAAGAGGAAAAGGGGCCCAAAGACTGCCACATGCCCAGCCCTCTGCCAAACCAAGCATTTACGGCCTGTGAAGTCAGCTCCTGAACATGCATAGTTGTGGACCGGTCAGTGGGAGACCTGAAGGAGCACCACCTACAATGTCTGGAAGCCCCTGGGCAGATCTCCATCCAGTGCTGTGTGGGATTCCTGCTTCCCATGGCTGAGGCCTGGCAGGGAAGTCAACGGCCACAATGAA